TCTTATTTTTCTTTTAATACTAAGTTGCTCTATTTAATTAGTTAATAAAACTAATAATTAAGTAATTACTTTTAGTACGAAGCTATACTTTAGAACGAAACTTATTACGAGGCGTAACAAGGTTAGAACCTGCGGATCTGAGGATCGTTGATCCATACCGTGGTCATGTAGGTCAGGTGATTCTTACTGCGGCTAGAATTCCATGTGACACCAGTTTCTATTTTTTTTGTGCCTTACCCGATATTCCCCGATGATTTGCATCACCTACCCAAATGTATCCGACAGATCTGACGAAACTTTATGAATAATCTAAGATTTAGAATATCCAGAGGTCATTTTAGAGGAGCTTGTTGTAAGATGGGCAATTGTATTTTTATATTTTATTGGTTAAATTAATTTCGTCAAGAGTTTCGTCAATCGTCAGTAGTTATGTCAAATCAAGTTTCGTCAGACGAAACCATTGACGAAACCATTTCGTCAACGCAAATAGTTTCGTCAGGCATCATTAATTTTGACCCAAATTCACGATTTCAGCTAAGCATTTACAAATTCATATTCATACTAGCAGCTATTAGATCTTAAATGAATATATTTTCATACTAAATTGATAACCCGACTATCATCTTTATATCGCAACACCCGATAAAAGTAGTGATAGTGTTAATAATCAATGCTAAAAATGGTAAGTGGATGTTTATAAATTGATTAATCATAAATTATCCAAGTCGCGTATAGTGATAATTAGAGAACCCCTTACGCTGTTTTACGCTTAACTGATTTCTCAAAATAAAATAAATAAAATAAAATAAATAAAATAAAAATAAAAAATGAATCCTTCTGAAGGAAAGCATTTTACTTTTGACAAAATTCCTGATCTGACCGGAAAAGTAAGATTATTATTATCATCTGATTAGTTGAATATCAGCTTATTTTTTTCTTGTCTATATATTATCTCTAGGTTGCAATCGTTACAGGAGGAAATACTGGAATAGGTTATATTACCTGTAGAGAATTGGCCAGAAAAAATGCTCATCTGTTCATGTTAGGTCGTAATCTCGAGGGATGTCAGGCTGCCATTAAAAAAATTAAATCTGAAACTGGTAATCAAGATGTTGAATTTTTACATTTGAACTTAATAAGTTTGAAATCTGTTAGGGAGTGTGCCGAAAATTTTTTGGCAAGAGATCTGCCATTGCACATTCTGTAAGTTCTATTATTATACAATGTCGCGGCTGATGCTGAAATTTTGACCTATTTTATTCTAAATTTTAAATTTTTTTGGGCCTTTCGTTAGGTTTTTTTTTTACTTAGTATTGTTAGTAAAAAAAGTATATGTGAATTTTAGTAGGTATTATAGATTTAAATGGGGACCCTAAATTTCAGCATCCGTCGCGACATATAATAATTTAAAAGTCCAATTTGGCCTAATTACTGATTGTTTGATCACTTTTATCAGAATTAACAATGCGGGAATCACAACAGCGTAAGTAATAATGTTAAAATTCTAATTTATTTCCATTTGTAACTATAAGAGCATTTTGAATAAATAAGTTAACAAATATAATAATAGTACATTTTCATTAACTGATGATGGAATTCAAGAGGAATTTGGAGTCAATCATGTTGGACACTTTGTAAGTAAACAAACAGTCCAATAAATCATTAAATCGCAATCAAATAAAAAAATATTTATATATATATATATATTTTTGTATTGTTAGCTTCTTACTAAATTGTTATTACCAAATATCAAAGTTTCACAACCAGCACGTATAGTAATTGTCAGCAGTATTGGTCATACAGATACTGAGAATGGAATTGAATTTGAGAAATTAAATGATCCAAATGCGCAGGACTCCTTGCAGCGTTATGCACAATCAAAACTTGCAAATGTTTTATTTACTAACGAATTGAATAAACGATATCTTGAAGGAGAACAAATATATGCTAACTCTCTTCATCCAGGTATAATAAAAAATTTCAGAATTTGACTAAACTAAAAAGATTAATGAACCAATTTATATTATTTATTATTTTATTATCTACTTTATTAAGGTCTCGTAGATACCAACATGTTAAGAAGAAACTATTTATCTTTCCCAGATACTTTTTTGTCTTCTTCAATTTCATCTGAAGATGGAGCTATTACTACCTTATATTGTGCTACCAGTCCAGAAATAGAAGAGAAAAACTATCGTGGAAGGTATTTTGATCCATATGGTATAGAAGGTGAAAAATCTTCATTCGCTAAAGATGATGATTTGGCCAAAAGTCTTTGGGAATATACAGAGAATTTGATAAACGAAAAATCATCGCAAAAATAATTTATTTGTTTATAATTTATTACATAATTTTGATATCAATATTCAGGTATATTTGGTAAAATAGATGGCATTTTTCTTTTAAATGTTGTAATCTATCATTAACATATAGTGGATATCCAATAAATTAATATTTTTAAACTGCTAATATCAAATTCTTTATTACATCATATAAAAATATCCAATATTTATTAGGTTGGTTGTTTCATTAAGCGTGATATCACCTAAATTTTAGCTGCATGTATAAAATGTTAACTTCATAATAAATATTGAGCTATCTAATTTTAAACCAAACTTGAAGTATTAAATGTAATTTAACAAGATTAAACCATAAGATTTTATATTGTAAGTACCTTTCAAAATTTAAAGATCTACTTTGTAGAAACCTCTAATTTTACTAAATATATTTATCATATAATAATTATACAATAATCATATAATAAATATATATTTAAAATATTATCTTTTAAAAATATATTAAAAGTATTATTAAAGCATATTAAAAATATCTTAAAAATATCTTAAAAATATTTTTATAATTCAATTAACTCTTGTACAACTATATTGTTAAAATATATTTAAAATATTTTAAAAATATAGTTTAATATTATTATAATATAATTAAAATATACAAGATATATAATAAATATATTTTTATTAGAAAAATAAATATTTAAAATATTATTATAAATAATAATAATAATAAATTTATTTATTGTTATATATTATATTTATTATTAATCCAATTTATCAATTAGATATAAGATCAAATAATATAAAATGCTCCTATGGTGTAGTTGGTGTTAATATATTTTTAGAGTTAGGATGCAATTTTAAAGATTTTTTTTTATATAATATAATGTATTTTAGATATAAGGTTCTAATTTTAGTTTTTATAAAGTTTTTGGGGGTCCTAAGCATTTTTACTTAGAATGCCTGATCCTGTTTACTTAGTACGTTTTTGAGAAATAGGAACCTATAGTGTTGAACACCTATGGTGCAGAATAGTAGAGTTGTAAAATTTTACAGATCAATAATAATTTAATTAGTTATCAATAGAGATTTATAGCATGTAATAATAAAATTTTTATAATAATACTAAGAAAAATATGCTTATAAACTATCTAAAATCAGTAGCCTATTAAATTTAATAAAAGTTAATTTATTATATTTTTTTTTTTAATATTAAAAGTAAGACCATATTTTTATCTTTATTAAACATAATAAAAACTTTTTATATAATTAAAAAAGATTTAATCTAGTACTAAGAATAAGAACTTAGACTAACTAAGTGCTTAATAAAAATGAATTTAGTTTTTTATTTGCAGTCTAAATCTAATTTATTAGATTTGTTTTTGCTATAAAATCTAATAATATATAATATTTTAAATCTGATAACTCTTAATATAAGTTTGTTTATTATTTATAGTTAGAGTTGTTAGATAGTAAATTAATATTAGTAAATTACTATAGTTTCTAGATAATTTTTTAAATATATAGTAAATTTATTTAAGGTTAAGTTTGTTTATATAATTTGATTAGCTAAAAAATTTTTTTTAGCTATTAAATTATATAATTTTATATTATTTAAATCTTTTTTAAAGTATAACAAAGATCCTCAAACATACTAACCCCAAATTTTTTGAATTACTGATACTAACTTCAAGTAAAAAAAACTCTACTATGCCTGCAATATAGAAAATATCAAAGAAATTAGACAACAAATTATTGCTGATATTGATAAAAGATGGTTTAAACTCTAAACTCATCCTACCTCTATAATTAATAGTATTCTCAACTGACACAAAAATCTAGCTAAATTCTAAAGTATTCAACTCAATAATAATATTATTACTAACTCTATAGCTATTAAATCTTATATTTAACAATATTTTAACAATTGGACTGCTTTTTATTATACTAACTTTGAGATTTTTAACTTTTAATAGCACACTAAATACAACCTTAAACTAAATATTAACTTTTTTTGATACTCCTATAACTTGTCCAACTTCACAGAAGATAAGATCATCTCAACTATTAACCAACTCTTTAATAATAAAGCCTGTAGCCCATCTGGTATTAGTTATAAAATGCTTAAACATACAGGCTCCAACTTTATTACCACTATAATATCTCTCTTTAATTGCTGCCTCTTCTCCCAAACCATACCCTAATAATAAAAAAAAGAATATATATTCCCTATTTTTAAAAAACTTATCTTTGATAGAAACTTATTCAATACTCAACCCATTAGTTTAGTCATATATATTAAAAAGCTATACACTAAACTCCTTACTAATTATCTCAACCTTACCTTCTCCTAATACAAAATTTTATCATCATTCAACTTCATTGCACTTTCTAACACTCTACTTAACAATATTATCAAAGATGCAAAGTGTAATTCAAACCAACTATGGTTTCTTTTCTAGAATATAAGTAAAGCATATGACTTAGTCAACTTTAAATTATTTCAAAAATCACTATATTAAATCCAAATACCTTAACAACTTATTAATCTTCTATTTGATTATACAAACTGTGTTACTACTAACCTTGGCCTTACAAACTTTTACTCTATTAAAAATAGAATCAACTAAAAAGAAACTATTATCTCACTTTTTTGAAGAATTTATTATGATCTTCTGATTTCAAAAATCTCTTTACACTTTTCTAAATATACTCTTTCTACTCTTATTTAACTAGCCTTATTTACTACTCTACAAATTATCTTAACATCTCTATATCTGTTCTTGTATATATGAATAATATTTTATAGGTTACAAATTTTAAAACACAACTTTAAAAAATTGTCTAAACTGCCTCTTCCTTTTACTTCATGGCGAATATACAAGTTAATCCTACCAAATTGCTATTTATAACTATACAATCTTCTTTCAATACTTATTTCTTAATTTTAATTTGTAATCAATTTCTTTTTATCAGCTTTTCAAATTTCTTAATTGTTAGTTTACTCTCAACAACAAGCAATTCTTACAAATTAAACTTATTCAAGATGAGGCCATCCAACTAGCCAATATTGCAGATACCAAAAATATAACTAACAAACAAATTATCTATATTATCAATACTGTTATTATCCTAACTACTAAATATTGACTCTACAATATTGTAATCACCTTATCCAAATACAACAAAATTCTAAGCAAATATCTTACAATAGCTAAACAAAAAGCATACCTTTCTTATTATACTCTTCTCAATTATAATCTCTATAATATCTACAATATTTGGAATATACAACTATAGCACTATATTAGTAATTTTCTTAACTATATTAATAACAACTCTACTCTTGGTATCACAATACATATTTAACTTCAGCAACTTCAAAATAATTTTTGGTTAAATATTAATATTTTACAACACTGTGATTTTGTTATTGATAGTCTAAACAAATACACAACTATCTTTAAAATTATACAACTTCTTAACTATCTACAAATTTCTATTTATGCATATTCTGATTTCTCTTAGCCCAAAACAATTACTGATAGTAATACTAGTGTTGTACATTGGACGTTTTTTGGACATTTTGGACATTTGTTCAAATTAAAATTACTTAAAATTTTATTAAAATAATCTATTTTAATTCTTTTAAAAATGAATCCAGTATCTAAAAAAATATAT